CTGTATATATATATATATACTGCATGTTTTGCTAACAGAAGACATCATATGGATAACTCTGTATACATATATATACTGTATGTTTTGTTAATAGAAGACATCATATGGATAACTCTGTATATATATATATATACTGCATGTTTTGCTAACAGAAGACATCATATGGATAACTCTGTATACATATATATACTGTATGTTTTGTTAACAGAAGACATCATATGGATAACTCTGTATATATATGAATTTCTATTTCATCCTACATTTTATGCGTTACAGTTGGGAAACGTTTTGAAGTTCATCCTCACAAAGTTTGAACAGACATGCAGGTCAGTTCTAAGAATAAATATGATTCGTAAAGGTTCGTGCCTTCGTCACCTTCACAGTCAGAAAGACAAGGATATCTAAGTTTTTGAATATGATGTAACAAGAAAGCAATTAGAAACTATCAGGTTTGATGTATTCGATATCTTCAGAATAATGTTCTGAAAAATTCCTCAAATTATATTTTATTGCGATGATTGATCTATGTAGTTAGTCTCTGGTCGATCAAAGGGTCCAGGGTTCGAAATGTGATGTTACTCAGTTCTGTTATTTGATTCAAAGCCGGACAAATCCCGTATAACGACGGATTCCAATGAATGAATAATCAGTTGATCCAAATTACGGACATGCCTAAACCATGGAGGTCTCTGATCTGCGCACATAAAGGTGTCGTTCAGGTTGAAAAAGACAATCAACGAAACATTTATTAGATTTAACAAAGATAACATATCACAATCTAATCAGGATCTAAAATCTAATTTTCGCAATTCAAGTGACCATAATATTTTCTGTAATTTAATATTATAGTTATAAAGTCTACGAAGTCAAACAAAAAACAGCAAAACAAATATAAGAAAATGATAAAAGGATTCTGTTACCAACGTTTATAGAAATTTGTTATGTATGTACTTCACTCTCTATCTTTTCATCATAGAGGAGCTACAGTTTTGTTTTTCAGTTTCTTCAATTCAGAATGGTAACAGACATGAGGAATATATTTTCCCCTTCTGATATCCTCAAAAGAGCGTTCGTTTGACTAATTGAATTAATACAGGCGCTCTCGTGGCAAGAAATATAGTTAGTCTAGTATTAAGTCTGCAGTATTTGTGAGGTTTGGCATAGCCTGACGTTAAGAGCGCTCGACTTGCAATCTAAGGTTTTTAATCCCCTTCACCGAACATGCTCATCATTTCAGCCGTGAGGGAGCTAAAATGTTACGGTCAATCCCACTATTCGTTGGTAAAAGTAGCCAAGAGTTGGTGGTGGATGTTGTTAAACTAGCTGTCTTCCCTCTCGGACTTACAATGCTAGAAACTGGGTTTCGATACCCGTGGTGGGCAGACCACAGATAGCCCATTGTGTAGCTTTGTGCTTAACTTCAAAACGAAAAAAAAATGCTTTCTCTCTAACCTATCACTGCAATTAGGGACGGTTAGCGAAGACAGCCCTCTAGTGGCTTTGTATGTACAGGAATCGTTGGGTGCTTTAATTGGGCCCATAAGCGAGGGAATTTTTGGCGTTTCAGAATGATATCAATCATGGCTTTCTATTCTGATTTTTCAAGACACCAACTGGGGTATTGTTAAATAAAATCGGGGCACGGGTCCTGTGCCTAGCGACGCCTCTGTTTGTGTGAAATAAAAGAGGAAACAAGCAAGAAAGTATTTGGGTTTAGATAAGCTACAAATTCTTCGATAATGGATGTTTTAGAGCTGTTTAACTTTCCAAATGCAAGAAGTGAACAACATTTAATGGTGCGTTATGTTTTACTTCGTAAATTATTCCTTCAAGCACACTCACCGTTGCCTCAGCGCTATGTCCGTGTGCTTATAACACTAAAAATTTGGTTTTGATATTCGCGATGGGCACAGATAGCTCACAGTGTAGCATTCGACTAATCAACAGACAAATAAAATATTCTTAAAGTGAAATACTTTCCACTGTACCAGAGTGATGGCGCTTCTAGGCTACCGCGGTTACACGTAATTGTTGTGGAGTTAGTTTTACGGTTTGTTTTATTTTCATCCTTTACATGCTTGTATCATATTGTGGTGAAATTGCTTTACAAAGGAACTTCTTAGGGTGTTTATTATGATAACTTGCTTAAGCATTGAACTTTTAACGTATGACATGTTAATTGTTTTTCTTTGCCTCCAGTGGCACAGCGAAATATCTGCGGACTTACAACGCTAGAAACTGGGTTTCGATACTCGTGGTGGGTAGAGCACAGATAGCCCATTGTGTAGCTTTGTGCTTAACTACATTTTTTTTTATTCTGCTGATTGGCTGCCTTCCCTCTGATGGTCATTAGTTCAGAATCAGGACGACGACAAATAAACAAAGTAGCTTTCCCATAAATACAAAAGACAAATATGAATTTAAACAATTCAATTAAGGCTCCTTAATGATATTGTTTTAATATCATACACCAGGGGAAAACTAGAAAAATATTAGTCACTTCATGAACTTGAAGTTGAATTAAGGTAGAAGACAGGAAGGATCTAAAACGAACTAACCTAATCCAATACGTGTTAATTAAAAAGGGGAATTGAAGATATACTTCTAATGTCGTTACTTATGCCCTCTGGTTTTCTTTACTTGCTGTCATGCTTTTTATTCAATTTCGTAGAAATTCTATGGACATCTACATTGAAAATACGATAAAGGCTTATTTGCTTATTATACTACAGATCAAATGTAGCGCACGAAATACTTCAATATTTAGAGCAAGTTTTAAAAAAATTCATTGAACTTTATTGAAGGCTTATATATCTAAATATAACATAATGAAATAACTTTTAGTCAATATATTATTGTATACATCTGTGAAGAAAATAGATTTAATGTTAGATAGATACATTTATTCTATACGTTTTATATTACAAACTTTTCATTTTTAAGGTCATCCACGTCTATTGGAGACTTTTAAAGGTATTTACTTATTTATTTGAGGGAATTGACTATCTAAAGTAAAAAATAACTTGTTTAAAAGTGGCAAATAAACCCACGTTCAAGTGACAGACAGACCCATATTCAAGTGACAAACAAACCCATGTTCAAGTGACGATGTACAGCTAAGCTCCTTCTACAGAAGGTGTTCCGAAGTTTGAGTTTAATGTACAGCTAGCTATGCTCCT